CTGTTTCCCATATTACCATGAAGGTAGTTAAATATTATTCGCGTTTTAATTGTAAGAATTGCTCAATCTTAGCAAATATAAAGATAAACGCAGTAAAACAGTTACATAATGTCTTTAAATATTTCATTACAAAGCATACATCATTTTCTTTTCAAGAGCTCGAATGGGTCATCTTCGTCACAAAGGCTTTGACGAAGGAGGTGGCATGCTGCCGAAAATTTAAAGCTATATATATATTTTTATTAAATAATTTCACTTGGAGTCGTGGCAGTGTTATAACCTGTTTGTATATATATATATATATATATATATATATATATATATATATATATATACATACATATATACATATACATATATACATACATATATACATATATATATACATATATACATACATATATATATATATATATACATATATACATACATATATATATATATATATATATATATATATATATATATATATATATATATATATATATATATATATATAATATATACTGTTTCCCATATTACCATGAAGGTAGTTAAATATTATTCGCGTTTTAATTGTAAGAATTGCTCAATCTTAGCAAATATAAAGATAAACGCAGTAAAACAGTTACATAATGTCTTTAAATATTTCATTACAAAGCATACATCATTTTCTTTTCAAGAGCTCGAATGGGTCATTTTCGTTTCAAGAGCTCGAAATTATATCGTCGGTTTTATTTTTTTCTTTAGTCTTAAGGCGATTTCCGTTAATTTGTGCAAGATGAAGCAATTAAAGATGCTATAACGACATTCAGGACAAAGATTCTTTGTCAATCATTGAACTGAATAAAACTGGAACCACAACACTTAACATTTTTTTAAATAACATGTCAATTTAAAATGTGCACAACGGTTCGGTTTACATTTGGACTTTACCTCACCTTAAAGGGTGTAAGCAACAAAAAATTTTATTGCTTCGTCTGAAAGAGCATGAAAAATAACCCGATTGGCCGTTTAATGCTCTATTCTATCTAGCCTGGTGCAAAATATAAATTGCTGATTCAGCAGAACGTGTGACGTCATTAGTTGGGTAATTTATATTTATTGAACAGTAAACTGAAGCATAGCTCAGTTATTATTGGCTCAAATCAAATGAAATTTTTTATACAGATAGTACATGATGAGACGCATGGGAAAATACTTCTAATTTTGTTGTCAAGGCAACACAGTCGTTCCCAGGCCTCTTACGCTGATTTTGAATAACTAGTTCCATTTATTCATGTGTATGTTATTTTCGAATTATTATCATGAAAGTATACTTTTGGCATGCATAGGTATGATACACATACTTCTGATATTATTTTATGCTTATAAGTACCATGAATAAAGTTGTTTTATAAAATTGGCGCAAGGGGACTGGGAACAACATTGTTACCTTGGCAACAAAATTAGAAATGTTTTGCAATGCGTCTCATCATGTACAATCAGTATGCAAAATTTCATTTGATTTGGGCCCATAATAACTGAGCTATGCTTCAGTTTAGTATTCATTATACATACTTACCCAACTAATGACGTCACACGTTGTCTTGAATCAGCAATTTATACTTTGCACATTTTTGCGTATAACTTCGGAACTAGATGAGATAGAATCACTGAGCTATACTATATTACTGGAGAACCTGCTCGGGAAAAAAAAGTGAAGCCAAAAACATGGCGGATCTGACGCCATTGCCATGACTACTGGTCCCTAAATTCATGGCAACTACCACTGTCCCAACCGCGATCCTAAGTTTTCGACAATGTACTTCACCCCCCTGGTTTCAGCACAGATATTTTATGATTTCGCTTGTTTTTGAGGTAAAAATCGCACTGAAAATCTTGATATTTTTCTCCTATAACTTGGTTGATTTACAATGTCGAGGATCCTGCCTTTTTGCACCGCTCGTAGATGTATGAGATGTACAAGAAGAATCTTTTTATTCACCGGTAAGATTTTTATATATTGTAGAAAATTTGAAGCAGAAGTACAAACTACAATGTTTATAATACTACGAACATAAAAGTATATGAACAGAA